CCAAGGGGGACACACTTTAATGCACTCCGCTGGTATTATGCAAAAAATCATCATGCTATAACTCTAAACATTTCCTTATCTGCGTGCCAAGTTTCACAGAGATACATCAACTCCTTGGTGCATTAATTTTTATAGCAATGAGTATATTTATCCCTTTAACAGACAGAATTTGAAGTAAAGTAACAAAACATTCTCAAAACAAAACTTTAAAAATTTTTTTCATAGTAATTTGTTGTTTGAAAAAATATACCAATTTAGTAACATTCCAAACAGAAAAAAATAAAAAAGAATTGGATGTTACTCCTGGAAAAAGTGTATCACACAGTCTTTGATTCAGAATACCCTAATATAGCAAATAATTTTACATATAATTCATCAGATAAAATATTACAGAACAAACTAAAGTTAAAGAAAGAGTATTTATCTTTCCAGATGGATAACATTACTGAAGGACTATATATGTTAGTGCGTATAAAATCAGATAAACAAGTCTTTTGGGAGTGTTTTATATTGGTATGATGTTGAAGTACAAGATGCATTAGGAGAGAGAGAGTTTGGCATGGTGAATCTAAAATGCATTGACAATAATAAACTTGAATTTAAAATTGTAGAAAATGACACCTTTACTATTTCTTTGGATGATATTATTTTCTTATTGCCAGATCTAATTTTTGATTCATTAGGCTATAAAAAAGTGTAAACTTATAAATTCAAGCAATCAATAGTGGTTTCTGAGCATAATAAATTGACTTTTAATAATAAATTGACTTTTAAGTGCACTCAAGTGCACTTAAAAGTCAATTTATTCAATGCAAAAATTTTAATACAAAACTGGTTAAACATACTTGATGTGAAACCGTATTGATAACTTCTAATTACCGAATATTTGTTTTGGCAATGTAATTTCACTGATATCAAATTCAACCCACTCCAAGTATAATTTGATAGGATCTGATTGGATGTTTTTATAAAAATTATTAACTAAAAAGATGTTCTCTAAAATGTCAACAAGAGGAAATGCCAGTTTTCTATTAAGCTTTGCCATTAAGCCAAAACTCATAAAAACCAAAAACTCTATCAATATAACCCCACTTTATATATAATTAATTATAGAATAAATACTATTTATTAGTTTTAGTTGTAAACTCATTAAATATATAAAAAGTGATGCAAAAATTAGGTTACCTAATGCTCTTATTGGTCCTTCATTGTCTGAGGAATCACTGGAATTAAATGTATAATTAAATCAAGATGGAATGAAATTTATTAAATAATTATAAATTTACATCTCAACAACTTACATTATTTTATAAAGCTATATGATTATTTTTAATGCTTTTGAAGTTAAAAAAGTAATACAATGTTGTTCTAAAAGACTACTTTAACAAACCAGTATTATTTTATTAATAATAATAATAAAATCATATAAATAATTCAAACTGGATCAAGCAACAATTGAAGCTTAATTATTTTACTTTTGAAAAATTAAAGTGTTTGGCTAAAATGCATTAAAAGTAGAAAAATTTACATTTTCTACAGAAAAAAAAGATAAAAATTTATTGAAACTTTAGAAAATAATTATTATAGTATTCAGGTAGCTATTATTAAACATTTATGAAAAATCTTTTAAACTTCTATAAAGAAAATGCTCAATTTATAATTTGTGTAATCCTTAAAGATATATATAAATAGTTTTCATTAACAGTCAAACCTCTGTTTTTGAATATGTTCATTTCTAAAAAAGTTTTTCTAAACCAAAACAAATTTTTCATAAGAAACAATATAAAATGAATTAATCTGTTTCTGACCCTCAAAATAAAGTCTTTTTTTGTTTTTCATGCATAAAAATGCCTACAAAAATATTGTAATATTATATATAATATAATAATGTATTAAAAAATATTATATTAATAAATATTAATATTATAATATATAATATTATATTAATAAATTTTTGTTATTTAATTTGATTTAAGTACCTTTAAACACAAATTCTTAGATGCCATTTGTACTACACAAATGTCAATTAATACAGTTTTTATTAATTAATTTGATTTAAATTCAACCATGGCATGTACCAAAAAATGGCAGTGGTATCTTTCTTTAATGTGCATTGAAATCTAGTTAAATAGCAATGTCATTGATGATTTGTGTCATGTCTAATGATACAAGCAATCTTGGTGCCTTCTGAATCATTAGTCCTGTCATTAATCAATCGAGCCATTAATTTTCTTTAACACAGGAAGTAGAGGGAGTCAACCGTCTGTGTCCCTCTAATCTGTGGCTGGCTCTTGTCAAGTAGCTTGTTCCGCAACTGGTGCAATTATGAGTTCAAAAGTGAGCCATTTGAAAACAGAGCTTTGACTGTATTTATAATTATTAGCAGCTCCATCCATTTTGCATAATGTAACTTTCATTTTATCTAAAGTTTGCTTCTTAATTAATAAACTAAGTAATTTACCTGCTACTAATTCAAATAATCTATCTGAAGCTAGACTAGGATTGCCCAAATTCAAATGACAGAGTTGCCTACTTTAATTGCATTCTATTTTTAAATACGTTAACGGAATATTTGTTCCAGATAACATATACTTGCACACATTCGCAAATCCACAATCTATCTTGTCTATACAAGTCATCACCATGTCACCTCAACATTTCTTATCGATTTTATTTCGGTGACATCATCAAAAGCATGTGAAGTGTCAAATGTATTTCACTCATATTTTAAAAGCTATAAATGTATTTCTAATAAAAGAATGTATAATTTTATGTGATATAAGAGCATAAAAAAAACAATGCCACATTATTAAAGCACTTTACATTATTAACCGTATTTAGTACCTTGTAATTTACACTAATTTTAAATTTAAATATCATCGTACTTTAGTATACACTCTTCCATTGTTTTTGTCACTTTTTGGGACTATTAAAATTGGATGACAAAATCGAATACTTCTGTAACAACGTCCACAAAAATGTATTTATTTTTTGTTTTGTTTTAAAGTTTTATATTACAGTAGCATTTGTTATTCATATACCACATGAAATATAACTATAACATTTCTTAATTTTATAATAAAGTTAAAAAAGTTGTTTCTAATGTATCACTGTACAAAAGTGTGAAGCAAAATAGATATATTTAGATTCAGTGGTCCAAAAACATATTTTAATGATAAAGCTATGTTAAATAAAAAATTAAACTAAAAATAAAATATTTACACTGGAAAAAAATCTAATTTTTTTCTGCTGTTGACTTTGTGAAATTGTGAGTATTCTTGAACAAAGATTACAAATCAACATCACATCTGAAAAGTTGATTCCTTTTGCTTGGAAAAAAGTTTCAACATTTTTCAAGCATCATTACCATCTTCACTTATTTCACCAACATTGTCTTCATCATCTAGTTCTTGAAAGTCAGGAGTAATGTCAGAAATAGCTTTGATAATTTCATCATTTAAGGAGTATAATGTCAAACAGTCTTTGTCACAAGACACATATTCAATGTCCAGTGTTGGTAGCGTCAACAATACCCATGTCAGTGAAACACTTTAATGCATGTGTTTTTCCTTTAGATTCAAAGAATATCTTTTCTTTTTTTCACTGTTTCCACTCATTTGTATAGTAAACTAGTTGTTAAATTGTACAGAAAATATAAATCTAAACTTAACTAAATATTTCACAAAATTCTAAAAAAGTTACAATAGAACACATGTAAATGCAACTGTGCAACACAAAAAATATAAAAACAAAGACTTACTTCTAAAAAGAATACAATTGTTATTGCAGTAAATGTGCACGCCTACAACAACCTAAACAAACTTTTGCAAAAGCTGCAAATGCAGGTTTTGGTTTAATTTTCTACCCATACTTTTGGCACCATCTAAAAAAAGAGAGAAGAACTAACTCTGTATATTTCTGTCTTATGGGTAGAAGACAGAACTGGAGCTAAAATAGATTCTACTATGCAACAAATTCTGTTAAATTGTTGCTCCTCAATTAATTAACAAGCATTGAACCTATTAATTAAAGTACCTTAAATAGAATATTACTTATATAATATACAAGTATAAATAAAACAGGATTATTTTTATCATAGTGATTTTTGAATATGTTTTGTATTAGGTGACACAACTGTGAGAAGTGAAAAAATCAAGTTGCAAAAGTCTTAACCAAACAGTGACAGAACTGAGGGAGTGATATTTGTGAGGGTGACAAAAACAAGGAACAAGTGTATTTACTTTTTATCTGATTTTATCTATTGTGAATTATAATCTGTTGTAGTATTACATGTTTTTTATACTGTGCAAAATCAGTAAAAGAGTTCCTTGATATAAAAGTGCTTCTCTGGCCACCACAATCACCTGACCTTGACCCAATTGAACATTTAAGGGATCACATTGAATGAACCATCATAACAGAATAAATAACAAATAAAACTGATCTTAAAAACATCACCACCAGAGTTTGGAATTTAATAGACAAAAGTATTACAAAAAAATTGGTTGAATCAATGCCAAGTCCTTTAGAAGCTGTAATTAGAGCAAAAGGAGGTCCAACTCGTTATTAAAGGTATAAAACATTGTTTTTTCATTATTTATTTCTTCTGTCTGGATACTTTTGTGATGTGAAATTTTCAAAGTTTAAAATAAAATTATATTTCTCTTTTTGATTGATGTTTTTTGCATATTTATATATTTTTTTCTTGTGTATAAAAGTCTGAGGATTTCAGATCTGTCATTTTTTTTTCCTATTTCATGTCAGAAATGAGATACCTAAAAATCTCCTACATCTTATAGGTGTCAGGATATTTTTGTGTAAGAATTATATTTAGCTATGTGTAAGAATTATATATATATATATAAGATTAAGATTGACAACAAGAAAACATTGACCTAAAAAAAGTCATCACTTATTTCTAATTTTACTTATTCCAGTTTGTTTAAACTCACAATTTAAATGTTAAATTTAATGAAAAAATATTTACATGTAAGTCATACCCAGTTATTGCTACAGTTGTTGATGTAGTAGCACGTAGTGCGAAGAAAAGAAGAGTTCCAAAACAACACACTCCTAATAAACCACCAAATACTATATTTATCGTGTGAATTTGGATAATTTCTTCGCCTTTAAATTCAAAGAATACAAACAAATTTCCAAATAGAAGACTATAATAAAACACAAAATAAATTACTTTTTAATATTTCAATACAAATTACATTTATTTTACCAATGAAAAGATATTTACCTACATTGCAGCATAGCCCAGAATATACCACTATTCCTAGATATTGTTTCACTATCTGAATTGACAGTGAGGAAATTTCCTTGTCCTGTCCAGATTACTGTAATAATTTAAATTAAAGTAATAATTTAAAGTAATAATAATTTAAAGTAAGTCATATGCAAAAAGTTCAATTGACAAATTACTACATTCATTTGGGATAATATATTGGGTGTATATAATATGTAGCACAAAGGGCACAAAACTTAACAAAGCAAAGAGAGCTATTGACAAAATGTCACCATATGTAACCTTGCAAAACGAGTTGAAAATTTTTATGTCAGCCAATGCGAATACATGACAGCTACGGGAGCATTAGCAAGCACAAGCCAATGAAATCAATGTTTTCATCTTGACTAGAGTTCTCAACTCAACAGGAAACAGATGGCACCCAATAATTAAAAAGATCCATATTGAAATAATACTGGTATATAATTAAATTTCAATAAGCCTACACCATACAGTAAAAAAAAAATAACATTAATGTGCAGTTGAAATATATATCAATTTTTTTAAAATTCCATCTATTGGTAAAAGTGCAAAACTGCAACTTGCAACCATGCTTATCACATTACACTACCTTGCAACAAGAATAAAATTTGCTTGGCCAATCTAGTTTGCTCTCTTTGCTTTTGTACCCTTCATGTCCAGAATAAATCATACTTTAATAGAAATATTTTAAGAACAATTAAAACTAGTTTGGAATGGCCATGTGTTCTCATTTATTTCGTTGGAAATGACTGAACCACAGATAATAACATGCAATCGTTTCTATAGTCATATTCATCGACTTGACCTTCAATCACCAGTACTATGGCCAACAATGCAATGTCAGATCCCAAAGCAGTTGGTATTCACCATTTCCATGAAACTGCTAGTTAACTGACTATTGGACTATCATTTTGTAAAACAGACCTGTAATTGAAGTACAGTTTCTTATCAAAACTATACTATACATATTCTGTGAAGATTAAATTATTATTCAAAAATATTTTATTACTTCTTTTTGTTAATTATTTCTTTATCTGCATTGGTTTAAGCTTGAAACTACAAAATATACATGCTTTCAAAGGTAAATTAATTTATATCTAATCCAATAAAATTATTTGATATCTCTTACTTTTTACAGTTAATTAATACACTAGAGCTTTTCAATAGATATGCACAAAAACCAACTTCCTTCAAAAGACATTGCTAGAGTAAGAAAGGTGTTTTTGTGTGTATTACTGTCTCTTTCTTTTACCACTTTGTTTTCTATTTTTGCTTGGAACAATTAAAACAATGTTTATAGAGTTGGTCAACTTTTAAAATTTCTTTATTTTTAAACTAAATTTCAATCAACATAATTTCTAAAAAATAAGTGATTTATTAATTATAATTAATTATTAATAATATAATTGCCAATTGACTCTGAGAAAAGTAAATTTTGAAATTGGTTTCTGGTGACTTAATAATTAATACTTAAATTTGTTTAACAAGCTTCAAAAATATATTGTTTTTAAAATTTTGATACATAACTTAATATATTTATTAAATGGATTTTGAAAAATAGAATATAAGTAAATAAAAGTTAATAAAAGAGTAAAATATAAAATTAATAAGTTTAGAATTATTTACTACTAAGTATCTTAATAGATAAAAAAGTAACAAAAAAAAAAACAAAAAAACAAAATTTATTAATGTGTGATTAATGTAAAAAAAGTAATGATATTTATTAAAACAGAATGAAAGCAATGATTATTTTAAAATGATAGACTGAAACAGCATTTTAAAATAAAGATTCATTGAGGTACAAAAACTCTTCTATGTGGCTTACAACATTGCATTCCATCTCAAAATCTAATCCAGCCATTCTGATAGAAGTTTGCAATTTTCCATTTATTACAATGAGCAATCCAAAAACGTTATAAAAAATGGGGGTCCATAACTTTTGTTTTAGAGACTGACGGTCATAGCATGATCATGTACATGAGTGTGGGCAAAACAATATTGCACAAATAGCGAAATTTTGTTGGGTGATGTCCCAAGGTTGCTAGCATGTCTTTTGTAAGCTTGTAGAATATGAGTTTGTTCTAAAACTTTGATGGACTGATTTGATAAAACTTTGCCATTTTCCATTAACTGCAATGAGGAATCAAAAACATAAAAAAATAAGAGCCCATGACTTCCTTTTCAATAAACAGTGGAGTCAAAGTGACAATGTCCATGGTCCCTGACTTGATCCAGTGCTCCTAACAGAATTTAGGAAAGAAAAATAAAAAGCAGGCATTGCATGCACCTAAAAGAATATAAGTGCAAAAAACAAACAAAACACAAAAACAAAGCAATTGATAGTGATTACTTTCTTCTAGGATTGTTTCTCCATATCTGACCTGCAAGGGTCTCATCTCCTGTGGCTAGCAGTTACAAGCAAGTTCATGGAAAGTAAGGACAGGGTATGTCCAGGATGCCAAGATTCTGAAATTGTTACTTGGGTAAACTAACTAATAGAAAACTGTCACAAATATGAAAAATTATGTTATGAAATATAATATGAATTATATTAGTGATTTTATAATTTTAAAATTTGTAACAGACTATGAAAGGCTTATCTGAAAGCCACCATATTTAAGTTTGCCCCTGATGTCAAATGCTCTAGCCACATACATAAGTACAAGGATAGCCTCTTTTGTGGAAACAAGTGCAAGGTTCACCTGTCAGATACCTGTACCTGTTCTTCTGTGCATAAGAAGTGCAAAGATCTCTTCTTTCTTTATGGCTCTGCCTCAATTCTATTGTAATCAGACAAAGTTGTGCAATGACATAGTTACAGTAATGTCAACATTAAATATCAGTTATTCTGTACAATTTTGAAACTGAAATGATAGAATAAAAAGTTCTTATTGATATTAATCTTATTAATTCTTATCTTATTAAATCCTATTAATAAGATTAATAGTGGTAAGAACTTATTATCTTATCAATATTAATTTTATTAATATTGATATTTCATAATTATTGATTTCTGTGGAGGATCCTAGATTGAAGAATACTTTTCTGATTTTTGTAAGACCTGAGAAAAAATTTCTTAAATTTAAAAAAGACCTGCTGTTAGAATCAGCAATGTTAAAAATATCTATAATTGAAAATGACACAACAAAAACCATACACTCTGACTATACTTAAGCAACCAGATGATAATTATTGACTTCAGCCTATGTCATTTAAGATTTCGAAGTTGAAGTCTGCCATCAAATCTGATTGATCACAAACAGTCAATATATGAAAATAATTGATGATTCAATTTGTGTACAAGTGGGTTTTGACTTCTGGCTACAATTAGTAAATATGGCAGTTAGAATAATCCTAGAATATATCTTGGTAATTTAACTTTTGGACCACCCTATAATATTTGGAAAGTTTGAAATATAGGAAAGACCTATTAGTTAGGTAAAATTGTTTTATAACTTAATTGCATTTCAAAATTTGTGCATCATATATTTGTTATTTATATTAGAAGTTGACACAAGATGTAGTCTGTTTCAATGTAATGAAATTTTGTACTTGTCAAATCTCCATCTCACCTATACTGCTTGTATCTACTGCATATACTTTTCAATTTATCCTCATAGAAGAATATTGACTCTATAATGGAAAAACTGTTTATGCAATTTTAATATTATGTTAACTCTTTTTGTGTAAATTATTTTATCTACATAAAAAATATTTTTTTCTATTTTGAAATTTGGAAATTAAATATGAATATGCAAAACAAACTGTAATAATTACACAACTATATATTTGACATTTTAAAATTTATTAAATGTTTTATTCAAATAACACATTAAACAAGATTCTTTAGGTATTAAAAGCATTTACATAAACATACAAGTACACAAAAATACTTTGACAACATATTACCATCATCATCAGGTAAAATTTTTGTATAATGGAATATCAAACAAAAAAACTTTTTAAATTAAATTAGTTTAAAATTTTTTCTCTCACATGCATAAATATATAATTTTTTGTAATTTCTAAAGTTTCAGTTAATTGTAAAGGAATGGAAACTGCTAAAAAACAACAAAATTCATTAAAAATACAAATTGACATAAAATGGAAACAGATGAACGATTATTAATTTTTATAATTTGTAAAAAAGTATCAATATCTTATCTGTTTCCATTTTATGCCAATTTGTATTTTTAGCAGATTGTATGTCATGTTTTTAGCAATTTCTATTCCTTTACATTTAATCAAAACTTTAAAATTTACTAAAAATCAATTATGTATTTGTGTGTGTGAGAGAAAAAAAAATTCTTAAAGTTATGTTCTATTAATTTGAAAAAATTTTTATTCACTATTCCATTATACAAAATTTTGCCTGATGAAGATAATCATAATAAATCATCAAAAGTACTTGTGTATATATTTTATATTTACATAAAAGTTTTTAATGCTGAAAGGCATTCTTTAATGTGTTACTTATGTAAATAAGTAACACATTAAAGACATTAAATACATGACAAAATCACAAAAATTTTAATTAAAAAATGTTAAAAATTTAAATGAAATCAAGCTTACAAAGATTTTGATTAATAAAATAGCCATACTTACATGCAGCGCCAATTCCAATGAGAACAGATGAAAAATATAATCCCCATGTCATTGGATATAAAAAGTTTGCAATGAATATGCTGAAATACATTTTTGGAGTTAAATATTTTAAAATAGCATAACATTCCATTTTTAAAATGCTAAATAAAATTTTTAGAAATCATTCTACTGGATATTTCCACAAACACTAGTTTAATTGCAGAAATTGAGTGAGTTTAATAGAAAATGCCAACAATAAAAATAAGTCTGGACTTACTTTCTGAAACTTATTTGTTAACAAAATTATATTGTTTTAATCAAAAAATCATAATATTCATCAATTTCTTCATCACATTTATATTATTCTTGTTCTCTTCTTCGTTATTTTCAATTATCTAACTCCAATCAATGCTGATCTGCATTTATGTTCAATTTCTCCTTTGTAATCCATTTTTGGCTATTCCATGAAGTACAAAACTTTTAACAATTAATTATTTTTTGACACCAAGAAGAACAATGGAAATAAACTTCAAAATGATTATCTAATTTGGTTGTCTTCCATGCAAATCTATTGTCTGGAAATGTCATCTTCATTTCATGTCCTTCACTTTGGGGGAAACTGTCATCTAAAAATTGTGAAGCCAAAAGTAAGTCTAGTAATATCCAGGAAAAAAAAATCAAAGACTTACATCTGAAACAGAAATATTTATGGAAATATCCAGTGACTTATGCAAAAAATTTTTGTAAAAATAATTTTTCAAGAAATATTGTTTATAACCCAGTATATAGTGTTAAAATTTAAACAACAATGTACTGTACAATAGTTCACAAAATTATTTTACTTTAAGCTCAAACAACCTTAACATTATAGAGTAGTATGTTATTCATGCCAAGTAATGTTAATAAGCAGTTAAAACTCACTGTGTTCGGCATTATTAACTGTTTTTTTCATTTGAGCGCTTTCGACGAATGTATTTCCATCGTCTTCAGGCGAATAAGATATTTTTATATTGAACATGAACGTTCAAGAGAAGAACACATACAAATTTAAATAAAACGATTTTTTGGACGACATTCGATATGAATCCACTACGATACAGGTACAGAATAGATGTGGCACAATAGTTTTGTGTGTGAAATGGTATTGGGGAAAAATGCATTTTCTATCTTATTACATATTGAGACTAAACTTAAACTCCTACTACAACTATTGTTACCATTGTAGGAATTTGAAAATCAGAATATAATCTTTTCTATTTTTGAGGAATTGAGCCCAAATGTTATTTTATTTTCTGGAGCCATTACATTTTGTTTCAGTTTTCCTTTCTTATTTTGGAAGTTTGTTTTGTTAACAGGACAAAAAACCCACACCTTCCAATCAAAATTAATCTCCATTTAAAATATCAATAGTTTCACCCCATGTTTGCTTGTGTCAGTCAGTACAGTCCCAGTCAAAAAGGCATCTATGATTTGGTGAATTACAAATAGTCATTAAATTGATATGGCACAGGGAATTTAATAAACTTAAAAATGTTTTGTAAAATATTATTTATATAGGAAAATTATCAGCAAGATAGACATGTAAAATAATTGTTAGCAAATAAATATGTAGATGAGCATCAATGATGTCATAAATGTGATGTTACATGCAGTTCTTAAAAGAAGAGCTGAAGTGCAATTTTCAGCAGACACCATTTGTGAAGACTAGACAGGTGATTTTAGAAAAGTTGCATTTGTAAAGTAGATTTATGTTAGAAGTTGAGATGCATTTCTTGTTGGATAAGTGCCGTTAAATTCTTTTGCTTTTGTTGTTTGAGATAATTAGTAATTTTGTTCAGAACTAATTCTTTCCTACATTTATTGTTGTATCAACTAATGCATTAATATTAATTAAACTTTAATAATGAACATTTGCTAATTATAAAATAATTATTGAAGTTTTTGTGGAACATTAAATTTGGTTATTATTAATTTTCAGTTTTGTTAAATTTTTGGACTTTAACTATCTAATAAAATAGATATAAAGTTGGCATCTATGACCTTGTATATTTAATTAATAAATTTAATCCTCACGCAGCTTCAACATTAAATATCATAATAGATTTACTTTTATTTTAAACTTATATAAATGAATTATCAATAGAACAATCTGTTATTTAATAAATAAAATAAACTTACCAATATGTGACAGCACCAATAATCATTGCATATTTTGGTCCAGTAAATGAGATAGCTGATGGTGCAAGCCAGTTACATACTGCAAGAACTGCATAAATAACTGCCAAACTACACAAGAAAGAGCACAAATTTTAGTTTCAGCAAATTAAAGTAATATCGTTTAACTAAAATGTGACAGATTACAATATTCAATTTAGAATTATATATATATAAAATTATTCAAAAACAAACCTTGTGTAACCTTCACCATGGTAAGATGGATTTTGATGCTTTATACTTTTAATTACAATTTTCTGTAAATAAATTTATTTAAAAATTACAATTTAAATGAGAACAATAATTATTATAAAAATAAAATATTTTTTATTTATTAGTATTGTAATAATATATAATCCCTAAAACATACCTGTAAACCTTGCAGGTTTTGAAACTGCCATCAAGCATGTATAAATCAATTGTTTTCAAATTATCATCATATTATCTTGGATATACATGAAACACATTTTAGTACAGTTAAGTATGATATTGATATTTCATTCAATGTCTACATTTTACATTTATAATTATTTTGTCATAGAAAGTTATGATATCAGGGATGTCAAGTAATCATTCCGGCATCGAAAGCTGTAATCATGTTATCAAAAATTATTTTATTATATGCAGTTTTGGTATCAGTGCCCAATGTCATTAAAAAAAAAAAAATATTTAGGTTTTCAAACACACACTTGACAGTGTTTCATTACAGATTTATTTGATTATAAATAATTTGAAGAAATTATGATCACATTATGTATTGTACACTTTAAAGAAACAGTGAAAGAAATTGTGTACATCACATTTTAACGAATGCACCATCAAGTGTGTGCTTGGAAACCTAAATATCTTTCTTTAAAAGTTACATTGGGCACCGATACCCAAACTGTACATAATAAAATAATTCTTGATACCATGCTTACTTGATGTCCAGAATGATTGCTCAATGTCTCTGATATCACAACTTTCCATAGCATAATAATTATGAATGTAAAATGTAGACATTGAATGAAATATCATACTTAACTGTACTAAAATGTGTTTTGTGTACATCTAAGATAAAACGATAATAATTTGAAAACAATTGATCTATGAATACTGGACGGCAGTTTCTGTACTTGTAATGTTTACAAGTATGTTTTGGGGGAATATCACCAGTTTTTTCATTCCATGTGCTATATAAACAGTTATATTACTTGCTAAATGTAAATTTTCGACTATAAATTCGTATTTTCTATTATCAGGACTTATTATACTGGCTTTACAGGTAATGATACAAAGTTTAACATAAACCAATTTTTATTTTATTCCATATACAGTAGAACCTCGATTATCCGGACTAATTGGGGATGAAGGTAGTCCGGATAAGGAAAAATCCGGATAATCGAAACAAATACTTTAATTTGTCTTTTAATGATAATACATCACGTTTTCTTTTCGATGATATATCGGTAATATTAAAAGTAAATACTGTATTTTAATAGTGATTAAATTTTCAAGAAACAAACGTTCGTATTGAATTTGTACTACTACTGACCAACGCTAACAGACTAGCTATTGTTAAAAGGCCCTCGGGTGGCGCAAGAAGACGGATTTTATAAAATAAAAAGCAGTTGAAACTGCATTTTTATGAATAAAAATTTGACAAACTATTTATCGTTTTATGACGAGTAAAATTTTTTCGTCGCGTTCACGGCTTTTAAGTAATGCATAAACCTTCGAGGCGCGAGGCCCTTCGGACCGCGAGGCATAGGCGGTGGCCCACGTCGTCCATGCCTTACGCCGCCCTTGGTCATAGAAATGATGTAATTTGAATATAAATTATTTATAAATACGTATGTCAAGTTATATTTTTATTACTACGTAAAATATATTTAAGAGTTTACGACCACTGTGCTGGGTGAGACGTTGTTGAAACAAAAAAAGTTATGCATTCCATCACGTACATAAACAGTGTCGTAATTCGCCAAGTGCAAATCAGCAAATTCGTAAAATTTTTGTTTATTTTGAACAATCCGGATAATCGAAAATCCGGATAATGGAGGTCCGGATAATGGAGGTTCTACTGTACCTGTATATGGAATAAAATAAAAATTGGTTTCTGTTAAACTTTGAATATTTTAGTTGTTATTAGCGTTCAAAATTAAAAAAATAAATAAATAAAACTCGTCTCTACCCTCAAAGTAAGTTTTTTTGTCATTTTATAATAGTACAGTAAAACCCGTTAAGATGTTCTCGTCTAAGATGCTAGAATGTATATGGGGGTACGAGTTAGCTCAACCACTTTGACGCTAATAACTAATTCTTGTGTTAAACCATCTGACTCGGATTCTGACTACTCTGACCACAGAAATTATTAGGCTACAAACAGGGTGAACAAAATCATGCCCCACACACACAGTCTAACATCTTATATATCTATAGAACTTATAGAAAAAAACCTCAAATCTTTTGTATACAGTAACTCAAAATTTCAAGGTGTCCTGAGTCCAAAAATGTAAAAATTTGGGAGGGGTCACTTTTTGACTGAGCGCTACACTTTCCCTCTGTTATATATAACAGCCAGAGAAGTAAAAATTATCAAATACATATTTATATATTACTTAGAGGAGTCTTATAGCTTTGGAATAAAAAATTTCTACGTTCTATCTTTATTAGAACTCTATTTATTGAATCTTTTATTCTGAGGTCACGTGATGACATCAGAATTTCTGGGTCTCTTTCGGTAACAAGTGCAGATGGTAAGGAAAAGTCAGAGTCGGAGTCGGTAGATTTTTATGCAACTCCACAGCCCTGCTCCGAAGACCGGAAAAAAACAATGGTTTCATGGCATTACAGCAAAAACAGAAAAGTGAAATTTATGACAGATCTAAGATTCATCATACTCATTGCATTATACATCAAGAAGTATTATGCGCAATAGTAATAAACATGGAAAATGCATTGTCATCTATTAAAAAAATCATCAATTTCATAAGACCTCAAAGCCTAAATCAGCAATCATGCTCCAAGGTTCTTAAACAATTCTGGGACTTGAAAGAAGAAATATGTCAGTTCTTAATAACTAAAAATCAAGACACAAGCCTGTTTTTTGACACAGTATGGTTACAAGATTTATCTTTCATAGTTGATATAACAAAACACTTATATGATTTAAGTTTAAAACTGCAAGGTAAAGATTAGATCATTACGAAGATGTGACCAAGTTAAGGCATTCAAATGTAAGCTCGTTCTTTGGGTAAAGCAGTTGAAAAATGAAGATTTAATGCACTTTCCAACATGCAACATGAACAAATCAAGTTTAGGTGAAACTATAATGTATCGAAAATACACATAAAAATTTTTAAGCCTTAGAACTGAATTTGAAACAAGGTTTGTAAATTTTAAATTTTAGGAAGACAGGTTTTCTTTGTTTTCTTCAATTTTTTCAATAAATATAGAATCTGTACCTAATCAAATGCAAATAGAAGTAATTGAGATCCAGTGCCATTCAGATTTGAAGGCAAAACTCAGTGAAGTTGGCATGCCTGGATTTAACAAATATTTACCTACCAGGTTTGAAAATACTCAAAAATTCGCATGTGAAATTATTTCCATGTTTGGAAGTACTTATCGGTGTGAGCAGTTATTTACATTTATGAAAGGAAATAAGTCTCCTGTCAGATCCAGAATTATTGACATTCATCTTGGGTCAATTTTGAAAGTAATCACTGCCGACAAGATTTCCCCCAAAGTAGGAAAAGATAATAGTAGAGAAGAGATGCCAAGTATCTGAAAGAAAACATTAATTTTATCATTGTTATTGTTCTATTTTTTATACTATACTTTTTGAAATAAACATATGTTTCTATGAAAATTAAAGTTTTTGTTCTTTTGTGACCCACATAAACTTAAACCTTCTATATTTGGCCTGTGTTATCCTTTGAGTTTGACATGCTTGCTGTAGAGGCTTCTATATATGCATCTCATATCACTGAAGAGCAATGATAATCCGATGTGTTCATATAGAAGCACATTAAGCATGAAGTTAGTTTCCATAATCAAACATTATTTCCATAACTTATTGTCATGCACATAATCAAATAGAATAGTGTTACATCAACAAAACAGTCATGGTTGTTACATGTTAGCCTACATGTTTGGTACATTCAGTGGGGGCAATGTGTTTGATATGATAAACTAATTGTTCAGTGTTAGGATCATTGGTGTGCCATCCATGGATGTTGTGGAAGTGCCACTTTCCTTGTATTTTCTAAAATATAAATACATATTGTGCGATATTTTCATTTTTTAATGTACTCTGAATTAATTAAAATGAATAGAGAGGTTGCGGCCGACGTTTTCAACGCGAAAACGTGTACGTCGGACGTTCAACGCCACTTTCCTATAAGCCTAGAAGTTTCACAATGGTGTTTGGATAGTCAGTGGAATCATGCTCGAAGTTCCAAACACCATTGCCAAACTTTTAGGCCTTTAGGAAAGCGGCGCTGAACGTCCGACGTACACATTTTCGCGTTGAAAACGTCGGCCGCAACCTCTCTAATATTAAGAACGATTTTATAACAGGTTCTTTCTTATTAGACCCGTAAACTTATAAATATAATAAATCGAAATTTACAGTGAACATAATTGTTATTAAATATTTCAACGCTAATTCTGAAATTTTTCTATTACAGAGTAACAATTTGTTGTGTCCCTTCTTAGTTTCAGATGTCCCTATTTAATGAATTTGATAATTAGGAAATTATTACGTTTAAACGGAATTAAGTTTTGACACAGCAATTTCGTAATGCAGTGTTCCGCGGATTAAACGCTAATTATTACTTTATACGTGAGGCTAAAAGCTAAAAACAGGTTTTCCGTTCAACGCTTAAAGCGAGAATGATTACATTGGCGAGAAAATGTTTTTATATTATTAATCATTATAAAATGGCAAATAGCTTAATTTTGAAAATAAGAATCGGTTGAAAAAAATTGCAACGA